CCCCCCCCCCCCCCACACACACACACACACTCAGCATCATGGCAGCCTTCATCCCGTCGAGGAACCCCCTCCTGCTTGGTGTCACAGCAACAGGCGCCGGACTGCGGGATGTTCAGGACCTGTGACCTGGAGCTGCAAGGCTCTGTCTGTCTCCGCTGATCCCCTGGGCTCAGCGCTCTCCCTCTCCTCATCCGACTCACTTAACTAGTGCCTGCTGAATGAAATCCATCAGCTTTCTGAACAAATAAACCAACCCTCGCTCTGGGGGCTGGGGCTTGGAGTCAGTTCTCTCTTTGTTTTTGCTGCCGGGGAGGGGGGTAGCAGGGATGATGAAAGGTCTCTCAGTGAGCGCTGCTTGCCGTTAATAGCTGTTTCCAAAACACGTTTCCAGCTGGGCTCTGGGGCTGAAGCTGATTGAGTTTTTCCAAACCTATAGAGGACAATGTAGGTTTTCATCAGCAAAGGCAGCAGAAATCAAAGGGCCAGCATTCAATCCCCAGTGGTTCTTTCCTTTGGGATCACTCAGGAATAATGTAGCCAGTCTCCACCCAAAACCAACTACTTGGCCTCATCTGCCCTCCAGCCCTTCTGATACACTCAGCCAGTTCGTGCCTTGAGGGGAGGAAGGGAGTATATCACATGCTCTGTACTGCAGCTACATGTTTACTACCACCTCTGGCTAGGTGGAAATGATAGCTTCAGACCCTTTGCTACAGCTGAGATCCAATCAACACAGCAGGGAGGGGGAGCCAGGCAGGCAGTGCTAGAAATTCTCTGCTTGGCAAGGCCCTGACGCCTGTTAGAGCAGCAGAGGAACTACTCTGATTGCCACCTATGTGAGGGGCTTTCTTGCATACCTACTAGCCTCTGGCTTCTTTACTATTCATTCCATCCAGGAAGAGCACACACCAACTGCAGATGCTTCCTTAGCCTGACGAAGGGTATTTATACCCGAAAGCTTGCAAAGAAGAATTTTTCCACCTATTTGAGTCAGTCTAATAAAAGATACCAGATTTACCCAAAGAACCTTGTCTGCATGTGTCCAGCTGACTGTCTGCCAGCTATAAAAGCCTAAGGACTGCAGTCACATCTGTACACTGGGGTAGTAGTGGAGAGGAAAGGTCCAAGAGCTGGCTGTCCAAGCCTTGTATCCCCTGAGAGTTTCTGCCTGCCAGTCTATGGCTATGGCCCGCTACTACTTAGTGCTTATGGAGTTTCTTGTGGAAACACCATGGCAAGAGCTGGAGCTTGAAAAGTCTGTTCCTGAGATCAGGGGGGGCAGCAAGCGAGAGCAGTCCAACCCTGGGTTGCCATGGCTCTCTGCTGTGTTGTGAATGCTGTGACTCAGCCTGAGCAGCAGCCGGCTTGTGCCCTTGTCACTGAGACTCCCCCATCCTCTCCAGAGCCTCTTTCAGCCAAAGGTGGTGCAACCCACAAGGGACCAGGCTTCCTCCCAAGTCCCATTCTGCAACCTGTCCCCAGTGCAACTTCCAGGGAACTCAGCGGGAGAGTTTCCCCTGTGCAGAAAGAGGGCAGGGTTCACATGGAGGCATCCCCTAGCCCAGAGCACGGCCCCAGGCTGACAGCAACATGCCCAGCAGCTCATTAGCCAGAAAGAGGAATACTGTCTCCAACTGGAACCATAAGGGAACTGTATGTAGTGTGTGTGTAATTAATTACTCAGCCTGGAGCTCCGCCAGAACAGCGGACCTCCCCTTCTTAGGGCTTTGATACACAGGCTTGGTCACGACCTCCGCTTTATATCAGCCCTGAAATCGCATGCATTCATATCTTCTCCAGCAAGACCCCTGGCAGATAGCCCCCTCCCCTGGGGACCACGGTGAGTCAGCGAGTGTGCTGGGGTTTCCAGGAACCCTCAGCATTTCCTAGAGATCAGCCTCAATTAGGCAGCTAGTTTTGGCCACTCTGTAGGTGGCCATTTCAGGCAGGTTTTGGTGTAGGCTGGGCTTCAGGTTCTCATGGCTGCAATCAGGATCTCACCCTTGGAAAATCTGCATCAGCTTTTGTTTCGGTGTTGCACAGCTGCTCACTTAAAGATGGCTCCTTGGGTGTACAATATTGCCTACCCAGTTTGCACTGCTGACTTCTTTGAGGCTGCTATGGACATCTATGCCAGTGAAATGAGTCATTTCTGGTCTGTGCACCTGATACAGTTTGGGCTGCTGTGGGAGTGACCTTCCTTCAGTGTAGACTAAAACAGTGCTCTTTTTAGAGGGATCTTGTTCAGGTCAGAGCCTGGCCATCCCACACCATGTTCCTCTGAGTCACCTCCCCTCCTCTGATGATGGGGCTTGTGGTCTGTGGAAGGGAGGCAGACCAGCCGTGTTTCCCTGCAGTCACTTCAGGCAATGCCACAGAGTTTATTTTTGCAGAGGGACTACAAAGTGCAGTGAGCATGGGAGGGAGTGAAACAACAAACAGTGATCTCTGGGCCGCTGAGAACTGGGCACTCAGAGGCCAATAGCTCTGAGCAGCCCCTGTCCCCTTCCCAGGCTCTCCCGCACTGCCCAGTACCTGGCAGAGCACTGGTACAAGGCTGTGGGTGATTTTTGTGGAGCCCTAGACATACACCTGGTGCCCAGGGAATGCAACAGGAAGAAGGTCTCTGCCCTCTGAAGCTGACAGGCTAAATGGAGTGGGTTTGACACCACCTGCCCCCGTCAACAAACCAGGTGCACCGGGCCCTTCCAAGCCACAGGGAGAGACACTCTCTAACTCAGGGGCAGGCAATTATTTTGGGCAGTGGGCTACTTACTGAGTTTTGGCAAGCCATCAAGGGCCACATGACAGGCAGCCAGGGGCATATAAATATTACTTTTCTAAATTTTTTAGGGGTCCCGTGGGCCAGATAGGATGGCCTGGTGGGCTGCATCAGGCTCCCGGGCCACATTTTGCCCACCCTTACATTATCCTAACCCCGCCCAGGGGAGGGGCTTGTTTGGTAAATAGCCTCCTCCCTTGCGCCTGGGGGGACTGCTGGGCTTCGATGGGGAAGGTGGCCCTGGGATCTCATGAAACTCAGAAGAAGCCAAGGAGGAAGGCAGAAGAGCAAGGTGATGGCTAACCCTCCTGTACTGAGCCTGGAGGACAACGTAGTGTAGTGAAGAAGGGCACCACACTTCGAGAGGGATGTGGATAACCTTGAGAGGGGCCAGAGGGCCACTCGTATGATTAGGGGCCTGCAGCATAGGTCTTATGAGGAGAAGTTGAGCGACCTGGATCTCTTCAGCCTCTGTAAGAGGAGGCTGAGAGGGGATTTGGTGGCTGTCTACAAATTTGATGGGGGGCAGCAAGGAATAGGAGATACTCTGCTTACCAAGGTGTCACTTGGAGTAACTAGAAACAACAGCCACAAACTGATAGAGAGCAGATTTAGACTAGACATTAGGAAGAACTTCACGATAAGGGCTACCAGAATCTGGAACGGGCTCCCACGGGAGGTGGTGCTCTCCCCTACCTTGGGGGTCTTTAAGAAGAGACTGGACAAGCACCTGGCTGGGGTCATCTGATCCCAGCGCTCTTTCCTGCCCAGGGCAGGGGGTCGGACTCGATGATCTACTGAGGTTCCTTCCGACCCTGAAAAATCTATGAAATGTATGGAGAAGGGGTAAGGAGACCACAGGATACCCCTCCCCCCACGCCCCAATGTGGAACTAGAGCATGGGACTGGGGGTGGGCTACTGGGCTGGCAGCTCTTCCTCTTCCCAGGGCTGCACACCTCTCCCTAGGAGTGCTCAGCCGGGGGTCAGCCTCCTGGCCGAGCCCCAGCTGCACAGCAGTTACCCAGTGCTCCCCATTCAGCCGACATCATGCAAAACCACCGCAGCTTTCTTTGAGTACAAGAGGCAGAAAATCCCATTAAGGGCGTCATTAGTGGAGACCAATGGAGCCTGAGAGAGACTCCAGCTCCTTCTGCAGGGCCGCGTGCCAGGTTGATGAAGATCTGTCTCCCCTGCTCTCTCATGCCCTCCCCCCTTGCTCTTTTCCCACCCTATTTTCTCCACCTACCGCCCATGACCTGCCCCCTCCTACTACCTTCTCCTTTTCCTGTCTCATTTTATCCCCCAACTCCTCCTCCTGTTCCCAGCTCATATTTTGTGCAGGCTGCTCACATTTTGCAGCAGGCAGCGCAGCTTTGTGCTTTGCTTGAAGAGCTCCACATCCCCCCTGGAAGCAGCCACTTGAACCTCAGGTCAGGGAGGAAATGAATATGCCCCTCTCTGGGTTCCCAACTCCCTCCCTAGGCCATGGCTCTGAAGCTGTGTCCACCTCCCTCCTCTAGGCACTGTCCCAGCTCACGGTGGGACCCTATAGGACAAAACACAAGCTCTGCCTCCAAGTTAGAGGCTGAACTTCGGTT